ATAGCATTCCATAACCAAGAAAAATCAATGCAATATCGTGATGAATAGAGATGCTTAGCATTTGATTTAAAATTAGAAACATAATTGTGCTTTTTCAATTCCATGACTCATTAAAACTCATGATGCTCTTACAGTCCAAACACAACCTAACTGCACTCCCAAAACGCATTATTTAATATCATAAGAATTTTCTTTAATCAAACGATTAAAACACTTTGGACAATATGACTAACGTGGCTTTTGTATTTGACAGCAAGGTGTAGAGAAGGGAAATGAATTTCCACAAATCATTTTTTTTTCTTTTTCATAATTAATTTGTGGGAAGAATTTCACATCCCCATGCGCATATGCACTATGCAATATTTGGATTGACACTAAGGATCCAAATTAGGGCTGCAAGTTGGTCCGGGTAAGGTCAGGTTGAGGCCAATCCTAGTCCAATCCTAAGTTCTAAACCTCAAACCCTAATCCAATCTGACCTATCCAATTCTAACCTTATCCAACCCAACCTTCTTCCCATCCCTTAAAATCTCCTACAAATTTCTTAACTCAAGTTTCACTATATATATCAAATCCTATGTTTTATTAATATTTGTTTGTTGATGTTTTTATTGGTTTTTTAAGTACAAAATTTAGAAAAAAAATGTATTAGAAATGATTATAGTTTATATGAGTTATGACTTATAATAGATCTTTTATGGGCAGCAAGCTATGAGTGGCAAACAACAGAGAAGAGATAAAGAACAAAATATTCAAAAAAAAAAACATAAAATTCGTTATTAAGGTTTTAATATTTCCAATTAGGATTTAATGAACTAATTATCTTAAAAGAAATAAATGATACTATGTGGTGGGGGCCATACAACTATCATGCATGTAAACAAATCAATGTATGATATAATATATATTTATATGTGATGTGTACTATAGATTTGGATTCGGATTGCCTGAGGGATCAGCTCGAAGTAAAGTGGGTTCATAAATTTTAACCCTAACCCTAACCTGAGCATCAAGCTGACCCAACCCAACTTGATTCTTTTTTATTGGGCTAGGACCAACTCAGCCCAAGTTGCAGCCTTAGGTCCAATGTACCAGCATGGTGCATTATCATTTATTCATGGTCCATAGCTGTTTAAGCTAATTCTTTCTCCTCAACTCATATCTTTACCATCTACTTGCACACCCTTACACCTGTTTTTGTTTAGGGTGAAATACTTAAAACAACACCTATGTTTTAGCAATAGACTAAAACTTATAATATTCTTTGGAAAAAACACTTAAAGTACCCAAGGTTTTTTGACAATTGACAGAATCCACCCTTACTGTTAGTACAATATTACAATCGTTTGTATGTAATGTCACATGACTTATATAATTTTTTTAATTTCAAAATTATCATTATCTAATTGATTTTGCCTTTTATTGTTCTTCAAAGTGGCACTAGGCGCAAAGTGGTACTAATGAGGAATTTTCCCAATTTTTTTAAATTAAACCTCACAACAATTCCATGTGAGCATTTACATTGCTTACATGGAACTCCTTGTAAACGTTTGCAAACGAACGTTTTAAAAAACGACCTAGAAATGGAACCGTTTTGGCCACCAGTTTTCAGATCAACGGTACGACCATCCGGTTTGAATAGGCAGCCTGTTCTGACAGCAAAATTAAAAAATAATTAAAAACAAAAAATGATCAAAATCGTTGAATAGGTCAACGGGTCGATGGTTTGATCACCCAAATCAACAGTTTATTGACTTTTTCAACGATTTTGTATCATATTCTGGGTTTTGAGTAAAACAGAATCGGTTGTATGGACAATTCCGAGGCCGAACGGTCCAACTATCCGAATCAACGGCGGCTCGAAAAAGTTGTTGCAAACTTTCTGTGGCTAGGCCAGCAAGAAGGACAACATGAAAACATACTTAAGGTGACACTTACGTCAGAGAAATTTACACCCAACACAGGGAGAACTTGAAAACAATGCCATAACTGAATTGGTCTATAAGACTATAAATATTTTGGGATTTTTGGACTGCAATGCCCCTCAGATTTTTTTTGCGTGTAATAATTTCTTCCCTTCTTATTTTGTCTTTTTCCTAGTTTTCTTTGCCGTAAAATGGGTAAAATATAAGAAACTCTCTTAAGATTTCTGACAATTATAAAAACTTTTCTTAAGATGTCAAGGCTTTACAAAAATACCCATTTTACTTTTAAGTATGTACTTGATTCCTAGTGCATTTATAAATGGGGTGTTTATTACTTTAAACGTTTTTTATCTTCCATCTTAGATTAACACCGCATAAAGTATATTATATAAGTTTTATTTCGGCTTTGTTAATTTGTATTTCTGTAATTTATCTAAGTAAGTGCATTTATTCATGTTCTTATCATTTTAAAGATTTTTAAATAAGCAACAAAATATCATTTTTACCCATAAAAAGTTAATATAAAAATGGGCAAATTTGTCCCATTATGCTTTATAAAATTTCTCCAACATGAGAAAGTTACTTAGCCCACCTAAGAAATGGATAAGTTTTATCCAGAAAAGTAAAACTTATTTTATAATGGGGCCATTAGTAAATGTAAAAAGAACATTGTAAAGTTGGTCAATGAGAAAAATATACTAATTGACCAACTTTCCCAAACTTATTTACCTATAGACGAACAAGGCCTTCAAGAAATGTTGATGCATTGTGGGAAACAAGCATTTGATGTTTCTCCAAATGCCTAATGTATATAAATCCAAGTGTTTATGTTTTTTAACATGTGTTTGGAACCGTGGACATTTATTGAATAAATACTAACACATTATGTGAATCTGTAAGCATAGAGACTTGCAAAAGTAGACTTCGATGTTTGCTATGTATGAATACGCATAATGAAGCCTTTGCTGATGGGGCACCTATGTGATAACGTTTACTCAATAAAATGCCTATGGTTTCAAACACCTTATTAATGTTTATTTGATAAACATTGATGCAAAAAAATGGTCGATAAACACAAACACCTACGGGAGACATTGATGGGAGTCATTTTTTAATTAAACGCCCACAAAACCAAATATAACATATATATATGAATTCATATGAAAATTTATTAAAATATCATAAAAAGTTTCATTTTCATTAAAAATTGCATGAATGAAATTGGAAATAATAAAATAATTTTATTTTATAGAAAAATCATACTAGATGGCAAATTTGATATTTTGAATTTTATTGAAAAATGACCTTAAAAAATAATTTCGTAACTTTTATCATAAAAGGCTGCATTTGCATTCTTTATTTTAAGACTTATAGAGGCACTTTAAGGGAATGCCAAATGCAGCCTTACAAAAAGATTCATTTTATATTGATGGRTCATATGGCTCACTCTCAGGTCTTATAGGACGAGCTTTCATCATCCAATGCAAAGATAAAGGTATATAGTCTTTGCTGAAGGAGAATCATGTTGTGCCATCAACAGCTATGATGCGAAACTTCGAAGATCATGATATACAATGATTCATCCCAGCTAATAGATTTTTCAAAAAAATACATATACACCCGATGCAGAATTCAGAATTCCAGCCCCCCTACTACTATCCCTCTCCCCCCTATAAACCACATCCTGTCCATGAATTTTAGATCAATTCACAGGATGCATTCCCCCTATACTATGAGATTATAAAATTCGGATCCGGGCTGATCGGTCATTCTCCCTAAATCTTTTGTAAGATAAAAGTCAACAAAAAAATGAATAAATCGATTACATTGGACACAGACTTTTATCTACTTTTGATCTAACTATATTCTATACATATAAACAATGCCGCTCATACACTAGTCTATCAAGCATGTAAAGACCATATGAAAATATCTTATAAACTCATACTTATACTCATCTCTAGAGTTTGGCTTACCTTAATAAAAATGCTGACTGTTATTCTTTCAAAAAAAAAATTATTTTTTATCTTTTACGAAAAGTTAGATGAAATTGATTGAGGGGTGAAGAACCGAAGATGAAGACAAAAACGGAGTGAGCGACTAAGCGGGCAGCCAACGTTGGTCATCTCATCAGGTGTCAGGGTCAGGGCCCGAGTCCCGAGATAAAGCATACGGCACCGGAGCAGCCACCAGCCGAACGGAAGGCCGCTATTGTCCACGTCATCATAGCTTCCGTAAAGGCTAAGACACGGAGCAGCAGCCGCTGCCGTACATTATCCGGCGGTGACATGGACATGCTGGTTTTCCCGATATACTCGATTATAAGAGCAGGTGTTTGACACTTGTACATTAATAAACTATAGTCTATACGTAGGACTATTACTATACTTTTCTAATTTTTTGGTGCAGTCCCGACAATGCAATTGCGGAATTGCCATAGCGTTAGTGAAGGTAGTGGTCCCCGCCGTACCTGCAGGCTGCAGCGGTAACGTTAAGGTTACTACTTACTACTAAACGGTGTGGGGAAGGGTTGAGTAATAGGTCGGACCTCCCAAACCCGAACGAAAAAGAGAAGAGACCCAAGTTCAGGTTGCACCGGCATGGCCTGGCCTGTGGGGCGTGGGCCCCAAGAAAATCAGGACATTCATTGTGTAGGAGACTGTGATCCTATAATAAGCAAAAATCAGGGGAACATGGATGATGATGATGAGTGACATGCCACATTTGCCACTGCCATGCTTACTTTTTCCGCTACGATCTGGATTTGTATCTATCTCTATATGCTTGCTTTGCTTGTTGTTTGTCTTTTTGTCCCGATTTTTCTTTTTTTTTTTTTTTTTTTAGTTTTGAGTTTTGACTGTCTGTCCGGTTCGTCAACTTTGCCTTAATGTATAGGGCCGCTAGGCATCACTCCTCTGGCGAAGCCTAACGCTTAATTGCTTATTGCTTAATACCGATTACCAAAATACTATAGCTTATTATCTATTAACAATTTCTTTCTTATCTTTTTATTAAATTTATTTAAAAATAAAAAAGAGACTTCCAGTCCCCACACCGCACGTATAAAAACCAAATCCTCTCCTCTCCTCGCAAATCGCAATCTTTTCATTTCCTCCTCTCCCGGCCCCGGGTCTTGCAGTCCCTCGGCCTTCTCGTCTGCGCGCGTCTTCTCCCTCCCGAGTCTCGGCCTGTGTTGTGTTTGGAGCTTTGGATTTGGGGTTCAAACAAGGTTTCGCAGCAATGGCCGTGCAAGCGCAATACCCTGCAAACGCTTTCAGGTGACCCTTCTCCTACCTTCTACTTCAACAATCTTCCTCTATCTACCTACATCTCTACAACAAAATATCTCTACTTACATCTCTGCGAATTTCTTGTTTCCTTGAATTTTTGATATTAGGAATAAGAACAATCTCCTCCAAGAGTTTCAGCTCGGATCTTGCAACCACAATCACAACAATTACGGTAAGTAAACGAAACACAAATCATTTGTCGGCTTTGTCCATGGACCCTAGCTCAATTATGCCAAACTTGACTCCCTTCWMTACTTCTTCAATTGATGAATGATGATCAAGAAGCAAGCCAGCAATTCTTCAACGGAGCAACCGTATTCAGCGGTCCTGAGAGTGAACTCACCTGCAACATGTCCGCCTCCAGGAAGAGGACCCGATACGATCCAACTCACCCTCTTCAAATGCAAAACCATGACCCCCACTTTCAATTTGACAGAATGAACACAGAGGCGTCTCCAATTTCAACCAGTTTACAAAACCTCTCCTACCAAGATAGTCTCCGCCTCCGGATATTTGAATCCAACGCCACCTCCACCAGTGGAAGATCTTCCTATCTTCTCCATCAGGATCTTACTTCTCAACTTTACCGTCACGACGTCGAAATCGACGCATTGGTCCGACTCCAGGTCTCTCTCTCTCTCTCTCTCTCTTCTCCAGCTGGTTGCTTGTTCGTTGGGTTTTATTTTTTCATTTGTATTAAACGAGTTGGCGTTAATGTTGCTCGATTCAGAACGAGAAGCTCCGATCGATACTGGAGGAGACGGCGAAGAGACATTGGAGATCGCTAGTGTCGGTTCTCGAACAGCAAGTGTGCAAGAGACTTAGAGAGAAGGAAACAGAGTTGGACAACGCGAACCGCAAGAACGCGGAGCTAGAAGTGAAAGTGAGACAGATGATGGTCGAGAATCAGATCTGGTTCAATATTGCCAGGAACAACGAAGTCATCGTGTCCACGCTGAGGTCAGGCCTCGAACAGATTCTGCTGCAGAGCAATACAGACCAACATGAAGTAGCAAAAGAAGGCATGGGAGACAGCGATGAGATCGTAGGGGTTGTCGCGGATGATGCAGTGTCGTGCTGCTACGAGGTGATGGTTGAAGAGGAAAGGGTAAGCGTGGCAGCGGAGAAAGATATTAAAGAGAATAGGGAACTCAAGAGCAGGACGCGTTGTAAGGTGTGCCGGGAAAAAGAGGTTTCAGTACTGCTGTTGCCGTGCCGTCATCTCTGCGTCTGCAAGGTGTGCGAATCGAGACTCAGCATCTGTCCAGTCTGCAACTCCATCAAGAACGCTACTCTCCAGATAGTCATGTCCTGATTTCAACTCACTTCTGTCGGTATTGTCTTCTAGCCCACCACCGGTGATCGGAAGTTTCACAGTATTCATAGAAGTCTAATAAGCCGGTAACTGTCGGACGATGCTTGTTTTTTTTTTATTAAAAAAACAAAATTATGGATTGGATATTGAAATTTGTAGAGAGAGACCAGACACGAAAAAATGCTTATAAAAAGCAGAAACAGTTTTAGTTGTGATTGCATTTAATTGAAAAATAATTAATTAATGCAACCACCGGTTCAGGGAGTGAGTATGGTTCAGAGTCATACTCATATGGTATGTATTGGGTTGACGAAAATTGCGAAGCATAGATAGATAGAATAGTGGGAACGGGGAAGAACAAAAAGGGTCGAGTCTTGTCCCTTGTGGAAGTTAAGGCAAGATATTCGTGAAGTGAATAAAGAAAGAAGTAACTATATTGAGAGGCACGTGCAAACGAACGAACGCAAAGCGAGAGATTTTAATTTCATTTTAGCCTTGGGGAAGGGGCCAATCAATGGGCAATATGGGTGGAGCAACAGCATATATAGCATCGAAATCGTATTTGGTCCTCTCACATCACAAGCCAAGCCAAGCCATGAGAAAAAAACACGGACATATTTCCAATACACGGCTGTAAAAGTATGAGAGAACGGTGTGAACACGGTCTTGAATCCGGTCCCGATCACCATAGCATCTTGCATTRTGTAGGTAGTGTTTGGTGTGGAGAGGGTGTTTGTTTATCTTTAATCTCCTAATCTCTTGATGTGGTTCAAATACATGAGAKCTGCTTGTGCTTGTTGTGCTTTCTTTAATCTGCTGGACTCGGAGTTAAAAAACTAAAAACGCGCATTACGCAAAAATGGGAAGAGAGGGTGAGAGATGGTGTAGGTGTTGGTCCCTTGTTTAATAATTTTTCAGGTTCAGAATTCAGAGTAAAAGTGGGGCCAAGTACCGAAGGCAATATATATATATATATATATATATATATATATATAATATACCCAACTAGTTTCGGAATAACGTAACTGTGGTAGGGACCAGGGATCTAATGTCTGAGGACAAGGTAGTGTGTCAGATGAACAAGTGAGAAATTGCAAGTAGTAGCTAATTAATTAAGGGCTAAAGATTCTCATTTCAGTACTATTTACATGCGCATTCTTATGCTGAATTCATCGCGAGTTGAAAGGGTAGTACTGTATTGCCTTACACATGTATCGCAATTTACAAGGCTAGCTATCTGTTTTGTAGTTTTGTTTTCATTCTTTCAAGTAATTAATCGCAAATTCATAATAATTAGTACTAACGTACGTAGAGAAAAAAACATTATCCATCCATCAAACAAAACAAAAACGAATATTACAAGTGGAGGGGTTGGCATAAATCTGTCTCATGTGCCACATATCATATTTTCTGGGGACCATACTCTATAACGTCGTCGGAAACACCAGTTTGAAACATAAAAGATAAAAAGGTTTCCTTACCTTTGAATTTCACAATATTTGTGTGAAGAATAACCTATTGGCTAGTGGTGTTAGAACTAAGAATTCAGGAACCCAGAAAATTTCTCTCGGACGTTGTCGTTGAGCCATGACTCATGGGCAAAACGTGTATGAGACTGAAACAGCCCCATATTCTTCTTTTCAAATTGCTTTAGCCTTTAGTACGTACGGGAAATAGAATGGTCTTCTTCTGATCTGACTTTATTTTGGTGTGCCGCCTGTGTGTGTGTGTAACATTAACAAATTGAAGGGCCGAGATTTTATTTTTGGCCCCATCGCCAACAGCATTAATTGGATGATCAACTACATTAAGTTAGATTTGTGAGATAAGAATAAGAGGGTGACAGATGAAAATGCCAACTCTTAATTCTCTGTTATTTGGTTTGGTCGGATCATTCCCTAGTTAATCGTGACCGCGATCAGAGACAATGTAATTTGTGCCCACGTGGAAAGAATCTTTTATTATTTAAACAGAATTGGAGGACGCATATCAATCAGGGAACAAAATCAAATTAAAGAGCAAATGAACAGGCAACTCGATGCTTGCTGCCAACCATTCTCCCCTTTCAAAAATAATAACAGAGAGTAGGCAACTGACGCCGATATTTGGTTGCTTTCAAGATATGAATGTCGTGCACATACTTGTGTGCTCCTTTAGGTCTTGACTCTTGCATGTCCAATAATTAGTTTTCCTTATTTGAGTTTTAGTTTGCAATCGTAATTTGTATGCTCAATCAAATTTAATCGTTTCCAAAAGATGAAAAAAAAAATCAAATTCAATCGTGATCCCTTCTCAAATTGAATTTGAAAAACATATGATTGGATTGCATTGCCTTGAATTCAATCCATCGATGGAGGAGATGTCAGATACAAAAGAAGATAACAGGAGATTGTGAAAAAGGTTACACTTCCTTCCCATGTAAATAAGACAACAACCATTTTATCCATAAAATTTGAAGAAAAAAAAAACATTATTAGAAGGGGAATTTTATCCCATCCAAGTTTTGCAACTTCCCCCTAGGTGGGAAAGTTATTTGCCCATATGGGAAGTTAAGGAGGGCGTTCCCATCTCCTAGGTGGGTAAATAATGGACTTTTATAGTTAAAATGCCCCATTTAATAATGGACTTTTATGGTTAAAATGGTCATATTTTTACTTGGAAAATAAAAGAACATGGGTAAATACACTTACTTGGGTAAGTATTTCCCAAAAAAAACTTACCCAAATAACTACAGTTACCCGGGTAAGTAATTTACCGAAAAGCGAACGGGGCCTAAGTGATACCCAGGTGTAAATGAATTATCCTAGGATCCTAAATAAATATGAAAAAAGAAAATGAGTATCTCAATCAATGAAAATCAAAATCCCATTGATCAATTTTCCCCCTCTCAAAGTCTGAAAAATGAACATGCCCTAATTCTAGGCAACCCAACTATCTAGGCTAATTCTAGTTTTACATGTACCTGAGATTATTATGACATATAGTCATAGTAATAGGTGTTTGGATCTCCAACCCACACATCACTACAGCAACACATTGAGAATATTTCCTATATTTACATATTACCAATCATGGGGAGATGTTCCCGAAGTTGTAGACTTGTAGTGTTTTATGGCTAGGTGTGGTCTGTGTGCTTGCACACTCAATACAATAACCTTTAATATTTTTTTACCACACTAATCACCAAGGTTAGGGGATGAGGATGGCAAACCCTTGTTAGATGAGAGAGAGAGAGTATGTAGGAGACAGAAGAGAGAAAGGAGGAATTTATAAGGCAAAATATTCTTCAATTACCCAGGTCATGGAGCATTCTAGCTGCAAATTGAGCTAGCTCAAGTGTTACTCCGCTACATTTACGAGATGCATGAGAGATAGTGCAAGAGGTGAAACMAGAGAGAAGATCATGACACTCCAGCGACTATCCGCCAGTTTCAAACCTTCTAAGATGGATRTTACTTCCAGAAAATAGAAACAAGTTAAGGAGAGATGTGGACTGCACTGATTGATTATGTGGTGGGAAAAAAATGAGACAGAACATAAACCTAATACCATGTATAACTATAAATTGAAGGGGTTTCAGAAAAAACTTGTAACCAATCAACTGCTATCATAAAATGGGCAACCAATCAAATGGCAATTATCATAATTCACAAGACATTTGATTGGCCAAAGCTCTTCTAATATCATGATTTTTATTTTTGATAACATGGATTTTCTCGTAAATTTAATTCTGTAATGGTACCAAAAAACAAATAACCAATCAACTGGTATTTATTCAAAATCGTGGTGTTCTGATTCATCAAAGTTTTTTCATGTATGGTACCTTTTTGGTAGCATAAAAGATATGATATAGGGCATAATGTATGGCACCTGAACTGCACTGTGAAACTAAAAAATGTGAACCGCATGTCACAGTTGAGATCTTCAATAAAGGTAAGTAGGCCTTGTAAAATCTAAAGCAATGAAAGGTAAATGGACGAGATTGTAAAAATCTTGATTTATTTGTCACAAATATTCCTTAATGTACTTACATTCCTGTATTTTTTTTTTTGGTACAAAGGAAATTTATTGATAGAGAAGATTGTTAGCCCAAGACGTAAGACGAGCCCAGACTTGATACAGCAGAAACGCTAGAGAAATTTCAACCAAAAACGATTATGGGGAAATAAAGCCTCGTATGTGGCAGCAAGAAAGGAGCTGTGTTATGGGCCCAGGCATAGGATCTCGTCACGGGTCGGTCTACAGGGAGAACCTCTTGCTTCCCCTTGTGCCTTTCCTTGCGTGCAGACTCTTGTGGAAAACCGAATGGGTGATTTGTTCAAAAGACTACCCGAACTCTCCTCACTCTTCTCTTGACTGGAAAACTGAATACTTTATTTCCAAATCACAGTTCCTTAAATAGGAGATTACAAGAGGAGACTCCTTACTCCATTCGACTAAGCTAGGACAATCCAACTTTAAATCAAACTCCTACTTCTAACAGACTTCTAACAGAACTTAGTTCCTATCTCTAATAGATAAGTAAGAACTAGATAAGTAAGAACAAAACACCTACTTCTAACAGAACTCAGTTCCTATCTCTAATAGATAAGTAAGAACAAAACTAGATAAGTAAGAACAGAACTGGAATAAGTAAACTATTAGCGAGCTGGCAAGGAGAGCTGACGTGGCAAGATAAGCTACTGTGTGGGCCCCCCTCACTACTGTTGCTGGCGGCGGTAATTCTTCCCACAAATGCATCCACAACAAGTTGAGCCAGAGCCACAGAGCCAGGATGGGTCTGCTCCTGTCCAAAGAGCAAAATTGTGTAGCCATTGTAGCGGTATTCTGGATATTACTTTTCACGAGCTGTTCGAGCTCGAGCCCAATTTATTGGCTCCATTATTAAACGAAGTGAGCTAGAATATAATATATAAAATAATATATATAATAAAAATATTATAATTATTAATTATTATAATTCTAATTTTTTAAATATCAAATAAAAAATATTGTTATATATAATTTTTTATTTTTATAAAATATTTTTTTTTTAAATCGAGCTCGAGTTGACCTCGAGCTCAAGGTTCTGRCTCGAGCTCGAGCCTAGTACTATTCGGCTCGGCTCGACTCGAATCCACCCCTAGTATCCATTAACAGATTAAGAATTTTCATTGTTTGGTATTTTATGTTGTGCAAGCTGATGCTTCCTGGCAGACAGTTCAGACGTTGGACTACGTAGGTCGGGTGGCTGAATTGTAAGAAGACAAATATCAGTGTGCCCTGGTTGCTTGACCTGGGGTAGGCACTTTGATGCTTAAGTTAGCGAACTGGCATTCAATTGCAATAAAGCAAGAGAGCTACAGTATTTAGAGAGCTAAGTCGCAAGTATCATTTCTAGTTGCTAGGATGCCTTTATATAGGCAAACTGACGTGAACTCCACGAAATGTGTCC